TGAAAAAATAAAAGTCAGGAGCCATGAAGTCTCTTAGGCAGGTCACGTACCGGTCAAGAATTCCAACTTACTGATAAGTAAGTTTTATGGCCAAGACATCTGGCTTGCCGATAAGCAAGTTTTATGGCCGAGACATCTGGCTTACTGATAAGTAAGTTTCATGGCTGAGACATCTCCAACTCACTGATAAATAAGTTTTATGGTTGAGACATCTGGCTTAGTGATAAGTAAGCTCCCCGCTCTCCCTGTAGCATTTTGTAATAGTTTAAACTAACCAATAACCGCGTTTCTGCTTCTGTATCCCGCTTCTGCTCTATAAAAGTGCCAAACCCCAGCCTGTAGGCACGCAAGTCCCCCGAGGAGACTTTGTGCCCACAGGTACCTGTGTACTAAATAAACCTCTTGCTGTTGCAACCCGAAGGCTGGCTTGTCCTCTGTGGTTTCACTCTTACAAGGAAGAGTGCCATAATGAGTCAGCTTTGGGAAAAACAGGGAGGACTAAGCACAGACTCAGTGAAAGAGGACCCTCTTCTACTGCCAGACTCTTGCCAGCATCACCTTCTTGTGGCCAAACATGTTGACTGCACCATCCCATAAAAGGGTCCAGTCACATGAACAAAAAACCTCTATAACACATTTCCTTATCATTCTTTCCAGGGCCAATTTACATCCTTTCAGCTGGGAGGACCTTTTAAAACATATTGACAGCCCTCATCTGCAGAGTCTGATCCACTGCACTTGGAACAGGCTCCAACATGACCTGCACTGCTGCTTGAGGGGCCACACTCTGAGAAACACTGTCCTAGGTTAAATTTTTAAGATAGGATCTCCCTGTAGCCCCGGTTGGCCTGGAGCTCACTATATAGACCAGGCTGGCCCCAAACTCAGAGATCTGACAACTTCTGCCTCCCAAGTGCTGGGTTTAAAGAAGTGTACCACCATGCCCAGCCCTAGGTTAATTTCTTATTCCATATAAATAAACTTAAGCCTCAAAGACCTCCTAGAAGGTTAAGTAGAAAATATTCCCTGGGCTGGAGGGATGGCTCAGCAGTTAAGAG